AAAGTAAAAAGTTCAAAACTCAGATATCTATAGGAAATGGAAATGTTATGATGATTGACTTCAAACCGAAAAGGTCAAATAATAAATAGTGACAGCTATTGTGGGTTACTGCGGTTATTGAAGAAAAAAATCAATCCAAAAGATATGGTAACCTTTCAAAAGACGTGAATTAGCCTCAGGATGATGCTCTTCCTCTGCGGCCCAAAAACACAGTGCTCTGCCTTTAAAATCTCGGTTTTCATTCAGCTGCTGGACCACCCAGCTTATAATCCAGACTTGGGTCCGAGATTTTTGGCCTATTAAAAGAGGAACTGCAAAGGAATCATTATGGATCTGATGAAGAGGCCATAGACCATAGAAGCAGTGCAAAATTTTCTGAACATCAGGCCAAAAACCTTCTTTTAGGAAGAAATTCAAATGCTCCTTAGAAGACAGGCTAAGTGCATAAAAATAGAAGGGGATTATGTTGAAAAGTAAAGCTAGTATTATTTATTAGCAAACAAATAACTATTGAGACAAGTACATAATTTTATTTCATTACTGAATATATAAGATAAAGGGAGTTTTCAGAGAAAGGGAGAAATAGTTACTGAATAAATAAATATAATTACATATGAAAAATCACTAATACACTATGTATATTAATAAACAGATAAAAATATCCTCAGGAACAAAGAAAAACTGGATACTCATATTCTATAATAAATTTTAAACTTTATGTACTATTTTATTGTTAAATTAATAACAATAAATCATTTAAATGAATCGAAACCTAATCAATCTAGCAATCCAGTAAAATTAGGGATTGACTGCAACATTTAAAAAAAATAAAGATGAAACTTGTCATAAATTATTTATTACCCTCCCCATAATAACTGGTAAAAAGTTCCAAAGAATCTCACGTCAGGTTTTGATGAGTGGAATGGGAGAAGGAGAGAAAACTAATGTTTTTAGTTTTTTTGAGAACATCTCAAAAACTATGAGATTTTTCGCAGAGCTTGTTCAATGCAACATTAAAGTACTTAGGGGCAGGATGGCCGAGCAGGCTAACATGTGTGCACAGCACCGCGCATTGCCTAGCAACCTGATAACCGAAATTGGAAACAATAAAAATTATGAGTTCGCGTCCTGGGGATCTTTTAACTCTGGCATTAATCCCTCGCCCTCACATCCTGGCCAGGGAAAATCCCCCTGTATAGCCTAAAAGATGAGGTAGGGAAGAATAAAGAAAAAATATTTACAAATATCAGTATATTATCAAAGAACTTTAAAATCTCTATAAAAATAAACCTATGAATTTTTTTGATAAAATCAATGGTTACGTAGATATTTATGATATTGTATTTCCTCTTAAAACAAAAATTGCCCCAAACCTTGAAATTAATGTTATTAATAGTAGATGATACCTTTTTGAAGTGCAACCTGTTTTTTTTTTTAACATCTTCGATAGTTCAAATTATTATTCAAAGTTTCTTTGTTTTGTATTATTAATTAAGGATTATTCGCGTGTCATTTTGTGGGCTCCCAACTGGACTGAATATACCACACTTCCAGAAAAACTTGTCAGATAAGCTTTAAATCTACATTAATTAAGTTAAAGTTTGTTGCAGAGGAAGTTGAGATTTATCTCTAATTGAGTATTAAGATTAGTACAGTAAAATTATGACTATTACTTCCCTTGGTTTTCTGTATGAAAGCAGACCATGTTTATAGTAACTTTTTTGTAGGTTTTAATGTCTGCTGTCACATAATAACAATTATATGAAATGAATGTCAATCTAAAGTTCATATCAATGTTACGAAATTCTCTATTGATTGATATCGAATATAATTCTGTTGTCAAAGACTTTAAAATCATCAAACCAAAGAAACTTTGAATAATAATTTAACTATTGGAAATCTTAAAAATCTGGTGCGAGTAACACAATTTTCACTTACTCTTTGAACTTTGCTCAACTTTGAATAGAAATTATTTCCTGGCCATGTTGTGCTAATATAAAATTTTTTAATTGCATTTTTAACTGAGCTAAAGCTAAAAGATTGCAGCTAACAAATCATAAATACTATTAAAATAACAAAAGTCCTATTTATTATGTCACCAGTTGATTATGGATTGTACGATCCGTTGATTATGGATGGTACAACTATTAGTTATTAAAATTTTTTTTTCCATTGCAAAGTTTATTAAAACAGAATTAAGAGATTTACTTACATTGTCTATTTAAACAGGTCAAAAGTTGTCACACTATTTGTAACTGGATTCCGTTGGAATATCGCCGAGAAGATTATCTAAAAGGTTCATAATGATTTTTGGGAATAAACGGACGATAGATACCTAATTATTTAAATATAATGTCAGATCTAGAGTTATTAAACTACAGTAAATATATTTAAAACGTATCTATATAGTTATTATTAATAATAAACCAAATTAAAGATACTTTAGAGGAAGATATGATAATGTTGGGATTTCACAAAGGGAAAATTCATCAAATTATTCACTAATCTAATTGTCTAAAAAGTTACTTGACGATTTTTTGGAATAAACGTTGATACCTAATTATTTAAATATAATATCAGATCTATAATAACTAAACTACAGTAAATGTATTTAAGGTTATGAACATATGCTTTATACATCCATGAAATGATTTTATATTTTACTTCTTCTTTCACACAAGTATAATGAAATATTTTTTTTAACAGAGCCATTGCATTGATTAGGTGAATTTAAAATACTTTTTACAAACATAAAAATATTTTTTAAATTTTACATTTAGTTAGTAAATTGCATATAATTTCCTTGGGAACATGTGATTTACGTTAAATATTATCAGTTTTCAAAAATTATTATTTATAATTTTTTTGCCGATCTCCGTTACCTTCTATAACTTTCTATATTAGATATTGTTTTTTCTAAAATTCCCCGCTTTCCAACGATATATATATATATAAGTATACCTTCTGACTTGTATTTCCGGAGATTCATTTTCAACCTGTATAAGCATTTTTATTTTTTTACTCCTTTATTGAATTATCAAATTCTTTCAAAAGTTATATTCAGCATTTTTTCGTAACTTTTAATAATGTGAGATAGTTGATTATTTAAAATAAACTATATTAAAGGTACTTTAGATGAATAAGCATATGAACATTGGGCATTTAAGCCCTATAAAGTGAAATCAACGGGGATAAGACCTAAATGATATTAAAGACCACTTAATTATAAAATGATACACCGAGTTTAATCAAAATCGTTAAAGCCGTTTATGAGAACATTATAAAAATGTGTTTCAGCATTGATATAAAGTGGCACATCTGGTAAGCCAATTTTAAGGAAAAGGTTGCCAGGACATCTAAGGATATTGCATATCTATCTTAAATATGCAATATAAGTTTTGTATGACTTTTCAGTTTCGAGCTATAGTATTGACATACACACAAACATACAGACCATTTTTCAGGACTTCACAATTGCAATATTTACACTTACTATATATTTCATACATAGATAAATGAAAGTAAAAAGGGTATTCTTAAAAAAGGTATCATCTACTATCAACAACATTAATATTAATTTCACGGTTTGGGGCAATTTTTGCTTTAAGCGGAAATAAATTAAATATAATCTCATAAGTATCTCCGAAACCATTAATTTTATAAAAAAATGTATAAGGTCATTTTTATAGAGATCTCTATCTGAGATTGTACTAAACAAGCTTTGCGAAAAACCTCTTGGTTTTTGAGATATTCTCAAAAAACTAAAAACATATCAGTTTTCTTTCCTTCTTCCCATCCCCTTTCTTTGGATTCTTTGGGACTATTTAACAGTTATTGTGCGGAGGGTAATAAACAATTTCTGACAATTTTTTTTTTTTTTTTTTTTTTTTTTTTTTTTTTTTTTTTTTTTTTTTTTACAACACTGGGGTAAGGCTGTTTTTTTTCCTCCCAACTTTACTGGATTATAGACTAGTCATTCATGGAATGTATTGAAAGAAAAACACAAGATAATCATTTCGTCATAAATATAATTCAAAACATCTGACATGTATTAGGTGAACAATTCTCTAGGCATTGTTTAATTTTCTATATACATCATTATTTTATTGAACTAAATCACATTAACGTATTAATGATCTTTTGGTGTCTTGTCTCACCATCTAACTGAAATATTTTCTACAATATATCAGCATATAACTAAATAATGGTAATTATTTAGAGACTTGTGGGATGTGGGTAAGATTTCCAAAACATCACAGTGTATGTCACTAATGGATCCAAGATTTAGTTTTGAGGGACTTCTGCCCGAAAGATTTAAAAAAAATATATATAACAATAATTACTTTAGAAGAAAAAGAGAGAAACTGACGATCTATATGATTTGGGGTTTAAGTGATTATTTAAGTACTATTAAATGTAATTACACGAACAATAATATTTTTAGAGATAATTATCAAATATTTTTTTCATGAGACATGGTTATATTTTACCATTGGGAGGGGGGGGGGGAGAGAGAGGACTTCAGCCTGAAAGCCCTTCCCCTCTCCCCGTAGATCCACCAGTTGTGTATGATTAAGTGATACAATAAATAAATCAATGTGGGCGGGGTAGCCGAATGAGCTAAAGCTCGTGCAATGCACCGCCGTTGCCTGGCAACCTGACATATGAATTTAAATATATAGAAATAGTCACGAGTTCGCGTCCCGGTGCCGGGGGAGTCTTTTAAATCCCCGCTCACACTCCCTGGCCCGGGAAAATCCCGTATAGCCTTAACGGCAAGGAAGGGAAGGAACAACAAAAAAAAAAAAAAAAAAAAAAAAAAAAAAAAAAAAAAAAAAAAAAAAAATAAATAAATAAATAAATAAATAAATCAATCAATTTATTAAACAAATTAGCTCTGTAAAGGTAAACAAGGGAATAATATGAACACCCTGTTTTTATTGTTCTTGAGTATAATTACTAAAAATATTTTTTCTTTAAATGGTGATTTTAATACATACTCAATGCTGAACAGAATCTTGAGTATCACCGACATCACCTAGACCTTCTTCAATTCCAGGCACACCGACAACTGTTTCTTCTTTCACTCGTTTTGCGAGGTGGGACCTTGCATGTTTCCTCAGGTGATCTTTTCTATGGAAACCTTTTCCACATTCAGGACATACTTCACTTTTTTCACCAGAATGGATCACAAAATGAAGGTTAAGGTGTTCCTTCCGTTTGAATCCTGCATTAGAAAATAAGAAGATCAATAGTAAAAAATGTTACATTAAAAGCATGAACATTACAAAAAGAAAGACGTAATTGCAAAAAAAAAAAAAAAAAAATTGACTCCAAGTTATAATATCAGATGGATATCAATCTTTTTTTAATTCTTACAATTAAATTTAATCCACCATAAATATAATTACTGGCTAAAGTCAAAATAGCAATCCAAGAAATTTAAACAATATCTCTCTATAAATAAAACATCACTCTTTCTACATCTAATAATTACATATCTAAGTGACATAATGAGACCTCTAGCGTTTAAAAATTCTGGCTATCAGGGAGAACTGGGTTGGTTCCTCCTCACCTGCACAAATGAGGAGACTCGGGATTAGCTACTGGACTGGGTCCCTCCCACTGACCAAAGGTTTGTGATGAGGCAGTTTGCCGAGGCTCTCTGGCCCGGTAGAATTGTTATTGGGCTGGGAGCTGAGGCGATCGATCACACCAGACTAATAAGAATCTTGGACTACCAGAATGAGGACCTGGTCGGAATCTCGAGATGGCAGTTCTAACATTATACTACTAGGAACTGAGGGTGACCCAGGACACCTAAGAACGGTGTTTAAGGTGCACGGCATCTCAATCCAATGGTTTGAGGCTCATGAGTGGCGCATAAACTACGAGCTTAACAGTTTGGAGGGCGCCACCAACCGCACCAAGACCTGTCAACCCCTCACAGGAAGACACTAGGAGGAGCAGGCGCCATTAGGCTCCTGCACTTCAAAAAGGAACCAAGGAAAAAAGTTAGGTGGTGGTCTAATGAACTGACCAAGCTACAAAAACCCACCAGGAGAACCTATAATAAAGCCTATATTCCCTTGTATGTTCAAAGAGAGTGTTAACGTACTACTTCCTCAAATCAAAGCATTGTTTAGATCCTCACTTGCACTTGGATATATAGCGGAGTCCTGGAGGAAATCATTAATAACCTTTATTCCTAAGAACACAAGGAGGATTATAGTGTTGCTAAAGCCTATCGACCTCCTTTGTATTTAACATAATGGAGAAGTTGGTGGCAGTTCACTTAATTAATAAAGTGCTGCGTTATTACCCATTACATCCAAACCAACATGCTTATCTCCAGGGAAAATCTACGGATACAGCCCTACCTAACCAGGGAAAATAGAAAATACCCCGCACTTTAAGGAATCTGCACATGGACTCTTTTTCGATATAGAAGGGGAATTCGATAAGAATGAATCAGAAGCAGTTTGTAAAGCCTTAGAAAACATATCTGCCCCAACTGGACTTATCAGATGGGTAAGATTTGTACTAAAAAATAGAATTATTGTTTTTTCAGAAGAAGTAGCCAGATTGCAGGTGAGGGGGTGTCCCCAGGGGAGCTGCATCTCACCTCTGCTGTGGTAATGGTAATAATTAGGTGCCTGGTAATGGCAATAATTAGACTAATACGGAAGCGTGGTGTGGTGGGTAGCCCTAAATAAAGCCACTCATATGCGAATGCTATGTTGCATTCAAAGAATGGCCTGCATTAGCATTACTGGGGCATTCCGCACTACACCTACGGATAATGGGTGAGGCGGCTATGGCATTTTTAAGAATGAAGGACAATAGACAGTGGAAATCAACAGAGATATGCTCGGCCACTTAGAAATAGCTACCTATCTTACGGTACCTCTCTCCGTCGCTTAATAAAAACCTTACTCTAGACAGAAAGGTTAGCTACCTTACTGGGTAGCTGGGCACAGGGTTCTGTAGAGACTCAAAAGGACTACCTGCCCTGTTTTACTGATGGTTCAAGGAAAGATTCTACGAGTTTAACGGGTGCAGGAGTCTATATAGAGAACCTAAATATAGTACTAAGCCTACCATTAGGTAAACATACTACCGTATTTCAAGCAGAGGTGTTTGCTATACTTCCTGCAGTTACCTGTTTAGAAGTTACCAATTGCGAGTGTTAAGGCCACATTCATTTTTGTATAGCTTTTAAATTTTTATATTTGAAATATGGGAGAACAGTAGCGCCATCTACTGGTCGCTGTGAAGGCGCCATCTATTGGTGGAAGGTGGAAAAAAAAAAATTCTAGTAGTTTCTGGAGAATCTCTTATCTGGATTCCAAAGTGCAAGCCCTGATCTGCAGGTTCTATATTTCTCATATACACGAAAAAATGAGTAGATAGACACCCCCTACAGGAGAAGTGGCTAGGGAGAGCCAGGAAATATGTTGGCAGGTGACAGAAGAGATTCTTGAGAATGTAGCAGCAAGAAATATCAACAGGATGAAGTATGCAGCAAAATTCACAAAACCACCTTCACCAATCAGCAAACCTCAAGTAATCCCTATAACTAATAATTAACCCATTAACAACAAATGTTCATGATTAGGGACCCCAATCAACTACTCAACCATAGCAGATGTAATATTTTATTTTATATTTCATACTTTTTCTTAATTAAATGTTTCTTCACCTTAGTTTGACATTATTTGAACACCCCTACTGATCTAATTTAGCATTAGGTTTATTTCCTCCCTGCTACGGGATAAAGGAAGGCCTACTGCACTCAACAGCGAGAATGCTGGCATTACTATCTATTCGGATAGTCAGTCAGCACTACAAGCATTAGAGTCTCCCAAAGTGACCTCCACACTAGTGCAGGAGTGTAAACAGGCATTGGAGAAACTGGTCTGCTCCAAGAGGGTGGAACTAGTGTGGGTCCGATTTTCTTGCAAGGAAAGGAGCAAAATTTCCTATTGTAGGCCCGGAATCTGCAATAAGCATCAGCGGAAAGAAGTTCTTGATTGGACTTGGAAAAATGCAGATGAAGAATGGAGGGAATGCACCGGGCTTAGACAAGCGAAGCAATTTATTAAAAGCCCCTCTCCCTAAAAAAAAAGTGGCTGCTGGGCCTAACTAGGAAAGAAATCCGACTCATCATCGGAGTACTAACAGGCCACTGCAGGCTTAAAATATATTTAAAGATCAGTGGGATAGTGGATGGTGAACTCTGTAATCTCTGCAGAAGTGCACCTGAAACTGCCCTTCACTTCATAACGGAATGTGACCGATTTGTGTCACTCAGATACAGACTTCTGGGGGCAGACAGAATTCAAGTATGCAAAGCTGCCTCCATAAAATGATCCAACCTTTTGAACTTCATTAGAAGAACAAAAAGGTTTGAGAAAGAATAGAGGTACAATAGACATATTGATACAATAGGTAGTATCAAATTTTATGGGGTTGGCAAAAAGGACCAATAGGCCCACTTGCTGGACTAAGTCCCCCACCAATACCAGTAAGTAACATAATACTTAATAAGTAATACTTCAGGACTTAATATGTATAAACCTAAAAATATACAGCTGACATTTTCGAAAATACTTGATATCAGATCAAGCAGTCCTGCCATATGGTAGATTGTTTTTAAATGTTTTCATTGATGACTACTGCGGACCTACACAATGAATGACTGTCACGAGACAGACAAGGATTGCTTCAGTAATGATGAACCCTACAGGTATCAATCAGACTGATGCCATTTAAGTTCAGTTGACATTGTTTAATAATAATGTGTTTCATTTAAAAAAAGCTTATTGGCCATTATCCTTTATGGCATTCGGCATGAGGAAAAGTGGAGATATAATAATCACTTCCTAGAGCCTGAAGCATTGTTTTGACAAAAGTTAGAAAAATATAAGTCAACTAGTTACAAAAATTAAGGGAAAAAAACAAAACACGTCTACCAAGAAAGGTCAGTATAGCTTCCTCACCTTTTTCATATGAGAATAAAATCTCTGGGAGTAGCCGTTTTCGGAAATTCAGTAATTCCTCAGCATATACATGTTGATATCCATGAGTGATGTTGAACAGCGAATACTAAAATGCGAAAGAGTTCTGCATTTGCAGACTGCATATTTAATGACGAGGATTTAAAAAAAAATTCCTGTGCATACTGAACATCCTTATCGCTACTGTTAGTGCTAAAGGTCGTATGTAAGAATTGAGTGTTTTACAAGAGAGCAAAAAAACTTATGCTGTATAATTATACGTATAACACTTATGAGTATAATTTCATAATTTATCGCCTATTGCTGTTTCATAGTAGTAGACTGCTTATATCAGTTGTAGACTACAAAATGTCATCTTCAGCACAAATCAAAAAAAGGTTTAAAATTTTTATAAATGATTTTTGCACTAACAGTAATGATATATACTTAGTAGGTATGTTTTGACTCGTAAAATGGATAGAACAAAAAATCCATAGCAAAAATTCAACTTTTTGTTTGTTCGGACTTAACGAGACAAATAATTTTCTTCAGTCAGAACAAAACTAATTAAACTGGAATATAAAAAATATTCGTGAAGTTCACCCAACTTTGATATTTAAGGAGGAAATCGAGACCACGATGAACTAGTTGAACTTCAATAGAAATAAACACAATCACAAATGAGACTTTTTTTAACAAACTCAATTATGTAAAAATGAATTTAAATTTACTGGAAATTACATGAAATCTAAGTAACGGTAGTAAGTGTCATGCCAGTTACATTTGGAATCGACAGAATAATGAAGCATAAATTAACTTTTTGAATAAAACCTAAAATTTTATAACTCCATAAAAATATCTTTTTCACCTAAATTCCACGCCATATGATCAATGCCTTCCACATTTCACAGCCATTATATTGCTAACAATTATTTATATTAATTTGAATTATTAAATGGAATTCAATGAAACTGATAACAGGTGATTTCTATACTATTCTCTAAATTTCCTCCAAGTTTGGATCAAATCGAACATGCAGTTTTTGAACTATAGGTGTGTCAAATAATACGTTTACTGATGCGAAAGCGGACACTAATGATAGTGGACAAAGATTAGTGAACTTTGCACCAACTAAAAACCTAATCATAGGTAGCACGCTCTTCCTACATAAAAATATACATAAAGGCACGTGGAAATCCCCAGATGGGGAGAATGTAAACCAAATCGATCATATCTTGATTAGTGCAAGACACCGCTAAAACCTGATCAATGTCAGAACCTACAGAGGAGCCAACATTGATTCTGATCACTTTTTAAATATTGCCAGAATCAGTGCTAGCAAACACTAACCCAAGAATGGAAAGACAAAAAGTATGATACCAATAAACTGAAAAATGTAGATGTGCATCAAGTGTACGAGGAGCGAATAAATCAAAAATTAGTAACTCTAGATCATTCAGATGATCATATATGGGATGTGTTCAAAGTTTCGCTGGATTCGGCAGCTCAAGAAGTTCTAGATAAGCAGGAAATGTCAGTCAGATCTTCCTGATTTGATGAAGAGTGTCATTTGGTGACTGCAGCGAAGAATGAGGCATATAGAAAAATGCTCCAAAAAAGAAATACTAGAGCTGCAACTGAGGGATATCATGAAAAAAGAAAAAATGAAAAAGGTTACACAAGAGAAAAAACGGGAATATGAAAGCAATGAGTTGGAGGCCATTAAAGAATACAGGAACCTAAACGAAGTGAGGAAATTTTACCAAAAATTAACGAAGTGTGCAAATCTCATCAACCAGTAGTTCTTCATGCAGAGATGGAAATGGTAATTTTCTGATAGAAAAGACGAGTATTCTAGATAGATGGAAAAGATATTTCGAAGACCTCCTAACTGAAGGATTGAGAAATAACAACATTGATGAGGATGCTATAACACCTGGTTATAGTAGCGATGATGATATGGAACCACCAGATGATGAGGAAGTAGAGGAGGCATTAAGAAAGCTCAAAAACAACAAGAACCCATGATTTGATGGACTCCCAGATGAACTAAAGAAATATGGGGGTACCGAGCTAATAAAAATCCTACGCGAGCTATAGTTGAGTATTTGGACAGAAGAGAAATTACCTAAGGATTGGAACAAGTTTGTGATATGCCCTATATACAACAAAGGTGATAAACTTAACTGTGAAATTATAGAGGCATTTCTCTGCTCTCCAGTGCTTACAAAGTTCTATCAAAAGTGCTCTTCCAGAGACTTCTGCAGTTTGCAGAGTGAAAGAACGGTAAATACCAGCATGGATTCAGAAGAGGAAAATCGACCACTGATCAGATATTCACTCTTAGAATGCTGCTGCAGAAAACTATGGAGTACAATGTTAAAACCCATCATCTCTTTATAGATTTTAGAGCTGCTTATGATAGCATCGATACAGAGCTATGATAACTTCTAAACTGGTCCGCCTTGTCAGAATGACCATTATGGGCATAGAGTGTGTCGTCGAGGTTCATGACAACAAAAGGACTGTGACAAGGAGATGCTCTTGCATGCCTCCTATTGAATCTGGCACTTGAAAAAGCTGTGAGGGATTCTGGCATCCAGACTACTAGTACGCTATTGAATAAGACCATACAGCTACCCAGCTCATTCGTCCGATACTGATGTATGGATCCGAAGCCTGGACCATGACACAAAAAGAGGAGCGAGCCCTAGCATTATTTGAGCAGAAGGTGCTCCGCAGAATCTATAATCCTATGCGTGATAAACAGAATTGGAGGATTAGACATAACAGAGAGCTTTACAATCTGTTCAAGGAGCCGAATATCATAAGAACCATAAAGCTTGCAAGCGAGACTGCGATGGGCAGGGCATGTGGCGAGGATGCAAAATGATGAAATCCCAAAAAAAACTATGGAGTGAGCAAGGCTCTAGGAAAGTAGGAAGACCATGTCTGTAATGGCAGGATTGTGTGACAAGGGATGGAGGTGCACTACTTGGTGAACGTAAGTGGAAAGTGGCTGCGGAGGATAGAGACGCCTGGCAAACACGTCTTGAGGAGGCCAAGACTCTTCATGAGTTGTAGTTGTAGTGCCATGGAGGAGATGCGAAAGGGGGAGTCTTTTTTTAGAGTAGTAGATAGAATTTGGTAAAATTGATACATGTTTATCAAACCCTAATTTCCCACCAAATTTGAGCCAAATAGAACGTGCGGTTTTAGGGATATAGACATATCAAGGAAAACGCCTTTGCGCATATACAAGAGAAAGCAACGGACAGCATTCAATAAAATTGATACTAATTATTTTTTCACCAATACTAATGTTTTACCCAACTTTGAGCCAAATCGAACGAGTCGTTTCTGAAATATTGGCGTATCTAAAAAAACACGCTTGCACGTGCATAACCGGAAGTGCGGGATGGAATTTGAAAAAATTGATATGGGACCATCTAGGCACCAACCCCCAAAAATCCCTGAAAATCGGATTAACAGTGGTAGGTGATATGCCTGTCACATCAATTTGACTACAGATAGACACTGAACCAAATTTGATCTTTGATGCCTGAAACGTAAAATAAGTGAAAATTTTCGATTCTGAGCACCAAATTTTTTTTAACTTCTCGCAATGCTTTCCTACCTTCGGTAGTGAGGAAGCCATATTGCGAAAATAATAAATTTGTTGAGAAAAACGGAAAAGAACTGACAAATATACATAACAGTTAAAGATTTTTTTTCCCTATGAGTAAATTGTGTAGTTTTTCATTTAAAAAAAAAATTATTGGCCATTTGACTGTTTTATAAGCATTTAGTTGAAGATACTTTATAAAAATATAAACTAGTGAAACGAAAAACTATTTATTTTAAATGAAAAATCAGGAATGTAAAAGGTTATGAGGCCTAGGTACATTAGTTGACCTAGTAGTAAGATTAGCCTCCCCACCACTTTTACCTCAGTTATCCCTCCACATCTTCTGATTGAAACTTTGATTTCTGGATTTCCAAAACTCCATCAGTCATGTCTATCAGTAGTTCAACATAATCTTACACAATTATTCAGAATGTCAATCATGCCTCAGAATGTCATTCTGACTGACTGTGAAGTCCGCTTAAGAACCAAATGGTGATGGCTCATAGAAGAGGCAGGGCCCACCACCGGTTATGATACCACATAGGTTAGGCTAAGTAAAATTTCCACCCACTTAGACCAGAATTGAACCAGCGACACTTGATTCAATAACGATAAGGCGGACAAAACTTCAACATGCTGACTCAACAGAAAATAAACAAGCTAAAATCAAATACCAGGACCAGGAACTGGTTATTGAATAAAAGCCAGTCAGTAAAGTCCTAGGTTTAATTTCTGTTTATCTTTTTAACACCTATGATTGCAAGCAAAGCCTATGATTGACATAAGAATCCCACTATACGGAAAGTCAAAGAATAAAATTTTGAGATTCACCTCAAGTTTTTTAAAGAAATGATGTGATTTTCTTCTATCTAGTCACCTAAAAGTACACTTGTTTTCTGCAAAAATGACTAAAATTAACTGTTCCAAAGCTTTTAGTTCTTGTTTTTTTGTGATATGGGAAGTATTTTAATAAAAATAATCGCCTAAAAAAAGATTGACTTAATTATAAAAATAAAAAAATTAAAAATGATGAATTTTCACATAAATTGGTTATGAAATTGTGTTTTTCTCCCAGATCTCCATCACAAGATTGATAAGTATATATCAGTGAGAAACTTAATGTTGTTTCTTACTAAAATTTATGTATAAAATAAAGAAACCTACTGATTGCTTCAATTATTTTCATGTGAACGTAAATATTAGAGCTAGAAACATTAAGTTTGTCAATTAGAAATACGTATCGATTCCTATGACGGAGATCTGGCAGAAAAACACAATTCCATCACCATTTTACATGAAAAATAAAAATGATGAATCTCAAAATTTTTCCAAATAAAACTCAACTTAATTAATATGAACTTAAAGCTTATTAAACGAGAAAGTTTTTCTAAAAGTGGGATAAATATAATGTAGTTGAAGGGTCGTGAAAAAAAATCTCAAAAAATTCATGACTTTTTTTAAACGGAACTTAGCTGTGTTTACTGCTCAATAGTCCTCTTTAAATAGTTTTAACAATGACAAACTCTACTTCCTAGTTTACTGTAGGGCAATGTTTCATTACTTTTATCAAATATTTTTTTAATTTATCGCTTCCTATCCAACAAAACACATGACTCGCTTAAAAACACAAATCTTATATTTCCTACTTTTCTGCTGGAAATTAAAAAAATGTTTATATGAACTTTTTTGTAGATCTTACAACCTTTTAAATATTTCACTCAACTTAAGGGACACCCTGTATATCTTAGGATTTAAAAGAGTGAAGTGTTATCTCTACATGCTACCAATCTCATTATTGTATTTACTGTGCAGTAGGTAAAATAACATTAAACAGTTTTTGATACACTATCAGAAATGATCAACTCCCTTAAAAACTAAATTATATGAAAACATATTAAGTTTATATACCTTTACAACAAACGGAACAAATATAAGGCCGCTCTGGATTATGTCCAAGTTTGTGCCTCTCAAGGTGTTCTTTCCTTTTGAGACCAGCTCCACAAATGTCGCAAATAAATCTAAAAAATAAATAAAAAGTAGATATACATAAACTTTATATAAAAACTACTTTCACTATTGCAAGGAAAAAAAGTAATCTGAAAGGCTAATAAAATAAATTCAAGGGGGCATCATGTAATGCATTAAAAATATAATAGTTTTGCTCTAATTAATTATTTATAAATTAACTAATTGTGCTCGGCAGTTTCATCCATGTGAAATTTGGATTATGGAAGCCTTTTTCAAACACACAAAGGGAACATGATTAAATGCTTCGGATTAATCATATAATGTGTATAATTGTCGTATTCACCTATGAGGTGGAATATTTTCCTCAAAATAGATAAGTTACCTGGATACATAGGATAAATTTACCTGGATCAAAGAAGGTACAGACAAATATGTTTCAAAGTATAGTATAGTTAGTTAGAAGACAATACTGATATTTATTTCATTATTACACTACTTGAGGTACCGTTATTAATGACAAACATATAAACGAAGTAGTCCACATATGTTTTTAGTATCTCCAATTATTTTCTTTTCTCAAGACAATTAAAACAAATTTTCTTTAATATGGCGTGAAAAGAAAAACTCTTATTTCCAATTTTACTTTAGCATACCTATATATGAAATATATGTAGTAAGGGAAAGTGTTGTGGTTGTAAAAATCTTGAATCCAAGTTTAGAATGGAAATACATGTTTTTAGGTTCTTTGATACCAAATTCTTAACAAATAGTGAGTTTGTGTGTGTGTGTGTGTGTGTGTATACAGTCTTAAAATATGGATTTAAAGTTGGTATATATGGCTGGGATGTTGAATTAAAATGAATGATTTGATAATTCATTTTAATTCAAATTGGCACTTTATATTACTGATTTTACATACTTTTTTCGAAAAGAGCCTTAACAATTTAATTTAGATCAAATTAGTTATATCAATATAAAGTAGTCTTATATATCAGGCAGGAATTGTCTTCATTGAAATTGAGATTAAATATTCAATTTTAAAAATTTCTTCCTATAAAATAAAGTTATTTTAATTTTGTTTATCGAACCTTTTCACATAGTAACTGTTAATAAAATATGGTTAAATATAAACTAACCAATTTTATTTAATTTTAATACAAGTCCGATATATGGAACAGATAAAAAAAGGCAACTAGTGTGCTCAAGCGTGTCCAAGATTAGCCAAAAGGTTACAATTGCTTCCAAAACCTAACACATGCTGTATTATAGGTGAGGAACACAAGGGCTCTGATAGTATGTGTGCTGATAGTATAGAGGATGCAGCAATACAAGAAATTAGATGGAGGAATGTTGAACAGAGGGAGCTAAAGGACTACATTCTTATTAACAGTGGACATCGGGAAAATGTATTAGGCACTGGATTCTCAGTAAGGAAAAATAAAAGACATGCAATAATGGACTATGCACTGATAAATAAAAGAATTTACACTCTCAGAATTAGAAGAAAGTTCTTCAATATAAGCCTGGTTAGCATTCATGCACCAAAAGAGGATAAGGATCATGAACAGAATGGTTTACAAGAAGGAGGATAAGATGGAATGTGAAAACTACAGAGGCATAGCATTGCTAAATACAGCATACTAAGTTTTCTCCAAGGATTCAGAAGGGGTTGATCCACTATTGACCATATTTCAAGCATAAAGTCCATGCTGAAGAAGTGCTATGAACATATTGATCTACACCCCCTCTTTATAGACTAAAAATAAGTATACAACAGTGTAGAATATAATATTGATCTACACCACTTCTTCATAGAATAAAAATAAGCATACAACAGTGTAGACCGAGGCAAGTTATATCAGGGCCATGGCAAAGGTAGGTATCCCGGAAAAACTGATGCGATTAGTACTTATAGCTTTGGAAGGAACATAAGGAAATGTAAAAATACAAAGAATACAAAGTGCAAAGTCCAGTTGCTTTCATACCAACAAAGGTTTAAGGCAAGGATACTCCTTGTCTCCCATCCTATTCAACATTGTTTGGGAAATAGTGATAAAAGCCATTAGAACAAATCCCGGGGAGCATCTATAACCGATTGACACAGCAACTTACTTTTTTTGCAGATGACAGTTTCATTATTGGTCGCGCATGAACATCTTTACTAGGAGCTTTCGAGGAATGTGAGAAGACCTCAAAAATAGCTTATAGCCATTTTCGAGGAAATTGTAAAATGTGTTTAGTCCCTACCTGAAAAACTGAGTGCCTTTCAGTCCATCTCAGGCGGAGGGTTGAATGTAAATTATGAAAGTGTATAACGATGTAGAGATGGTTGACCGTTGATATAATATGAGAAGGAGTTAGTCGAGGGTGCGGTCAAATAAATAAAAAAATAATATTAATTATTTTAATTTTTGCCGACGTTTCGACCCACTTTGCAGGTTGTCTTCAGGGCGTAGGATGTGGCAGTGCGGGAGGCAGTTGAAACACTGAAAGTGTATAACATTTTAATTGAAATGAGCTTTTCTGCCATTCCTAAGCCGCTGCTTTCAAAAATGGCGGCCATGCAAACAGATCCAAATCTACCGAAAAACGGACCTCATCGCAGGTTAGATGAAACTTGGATAGATGAATCTTTCTACAATGAAGCACCATTTTTGAGCAGTCAAGGAAGTGCCGTTTCTTTGCCACTGTTTTCCATTGGCAGACTTAATTAAAAAAATTGCAACTTTAGGGTAATAAATTTATTAATCTTAGGAGCCTTAAAATTAAAACTATAATGAATATGTTTGATAAAAGAAAGAAAGAACTTTGTCTGCCTTCTTTAGGCCGTGGCAAACCACTGGCAAGACGTAATAAAAAAATTGCAATTCTAGGTGTAAAAATTTATTTAAGTTAAGAGATTTGAAACTAATCTATATATTTATATATCGAAACAACAAAAACATTCTATTCAAAATTAAAGCTGACAAAATTTGCAAAAAGATTAATTTTATATCTTTTTTTGCTACGTCGCTTAGATTCAGAGATATCCGTCCTACTATGGCTAATTTTGAAAAAATAAAAAAAATTCTCATGTTTATTGCTGTCTTTCGCTTATAACAGGAAAACTATCCATTGCATCAACAAAGACATTCTATACAAAATTAAAGCTGATAAAATTTGCAATATGAATGATTCGCTTCCTAGCTTAGTTTCCGAGATATCCGCCCTCAACTATGGCTTATGTTGAAAAAAAAAAAAAGACCTCGTATCTATTGCTGTTTTTCAGGCTTTCGCTTATATCAGGAAAACTATGCATCTTATCGATAAAGACATTCTATGCAAAAATAGAGCTGATAAAATTTGCAACATGATTGATTACATACCTTTTTTGGTACCTCTCTTAGTTTCCGAGATATCCGTCCTCAACTATCACTAATCTGGAGAAAAACAAGTTTTATCTCATTTTTTTTACTGTATCTGATTAACTAAAGAAGTAGGTTTTAAATAATTACATTTTCTTCAAGAATATATATTATTTTACTAAAAAACGTGAGGTAAACTTTTTTTTTTCACATATGCGATAGTTGAGAACGGATAATTTGGAAAATGAGCGAGGTAGCGAAAAAAGATATATAACCAATCATATAGCAACTTTTTTTCAGCTTTAATCTTGTATAGAATTTCTTTGTCGATGCGATGGATAGTTTTCCTGTTAAAAGCGAAAGACCAAAAGACAGCAACAAACACGAGAATTTAGTTAAGTTAAGGACGGATATCTCTGAAACTAAGCGAGGTAGCAAAAAAAGATATAAAATTAATCTTTTTGCAAATTTTGTCAGCTTTAATTTTGTATAAAATGATTTTGTCGGTGCAATATATAAATATCATATAGCGAAGTTTCAAATCTCCTAACTATAGTCATTTTTTGCATATACAATTGCAATTTTTGAATTTCAGTCTGCCAGTAGATTGTCGCAGCCTAACATAGGCTGACTACTTTTTTATTTAACTTCTACTATATAAGTATCAAATAGCAAAGTTTCAAACCTCCTCACTTTAATAAATATCTAAACCTAAAATTACAATTTTTTAATTAGTCTGCCAGTAGATTACCACAGCCTATCATAGGCAGACTACGTTTTTATTCAAATGTTAATATATAAGTTCAACTGTTAATATATTTTATTTAACTGCTAATATATAAATAATAAATAGCAAAGTTTCAAACCTCCTAACTGTAATAAATATTTAAAAACCTAAAATTACAATTTTAGTCTGAGTCTGCCAGTAGAATGCCGCGCCCTATCATAGGCAGACTATGTTTTTATTCAACTGTTAATATATAAGTGTCATATAGATTAGTTTCAAATCTCCTAACTTAAATAAATTTTTACACCTAGAATCGCAATTTTTTTTATTAGGTCTTGCCAGTAGTTTGCCACGGCCTAAAGAAGGCAGACAAAATTCTTTCTTTCTTTTATCAAACACATTCATTGTAGTTATAAGATATACAAAAAAATATATACAAATAATCATATTGCAAATTTTATCAGGTTTAAATTTGTATTCATTTTTAAAATTATTATTATTTTTTTTTTAATAATTGTGATCACATATAATTACTTCAAACCACTAAGTTGTACTTTCAGATTATACATTATCTCACTTTGCAGTTAACAGCTGATTTAGGTAATCAGTCTTTATAATTAGGAACATATAACAACATTTAGATTATAATTGGTAATATAAGAATCACAGGACATATTTGATTCAGACTTAAATTTATTTTTTTTTTTACATTTTGAATCTCACTCGGACCAACCTCCCCCGGTAACTTTTAGCCCCGCTCTCATATATATATATATACACCCACATACACGATACATCTGAAAAAATGAAATTGAGATTGCTGATATGGATTCTAATATGGAAATTCCTGAATTACATGTTATTGTACTATTTAAATTAGTTGCCAGTTTAAACATTACACGGGGACTGATATACAAAGGGCGGCACCCTTAAGGCTCCAGTAAGTAGAGAAAAATATTTAAAGAGTAGAGAGGCTAAC